GTGTGTGTGTGTGTCACTTGTCAACCAACCTACCCATGAATTTAATCATGGCGTAGTGGTCATCCAATTCAACTAACACAATCACTTCAAACACTTTCTCTTCTATTTTGTGTGACCAAAACAGGATTTCTCTCTAGTAGTTGACTTGGCTGCCTCAATCATTCCCACTTATCCATACACAATGTCCATTCTTCTCATTATCAAATTTGAAGCTGAATTTCCTTTTGTTAAATGTCTTGGTTCATCAACTGAGGAGCACAATTAACATCCATGAGTATAATATAAGACCCCAATCTATTTTGTAAATAACTGCTTTAATGACAATGCAACCTTCTACGCTTAGAAAAAGCTTTACATTCAAACATGATGTTGATATATTTGTGTGTGTGCATGTTTAAATTGATTTTATTTTTTTAAAAAAAGTAAGGATAATCTAAGTGATAGGTTTTCATCCTCCAAGCAAGTAGTTAAAGGTTTGATTTCCAACTTTTACATATATATATATAAACTTAATTAGATTTTAAAAATAATTAAAGGATAGTACTACCTTCGGTCCTTAATATAAGATTCTGTTTGACTTTTATTTTAGGTTCTAAATATAAGACCCAAATCCACTTTGTCTCTCATATGTATGTATTTTTTTCCAAGATAGTCCTTCTAATAATTGTAATCTTAGCCAATATAGTTGATTAGTAAGGATATTTTAGGAAAAGCAATACCTATTTATTACAAATAACTAACTTAACTTCTTTGCTTAATTTCCTGAAATTAATCAACTGGGTTTTATAATTAGGACCGGAGGTAGTATAGTTAAAGAAAGATGAGTTGAAAGGAAATTCCTATAATTTTTCAGAAAGAAACTGGGCGCTATTATCAACAAAGATACTCCTAAATTTGGAAAAGATGCCGCTCTTGTGTTGGTAATCTACAATTAATTAGATTAAACTCTCATACAGTATATCTCAAAATATTGAACATAAATAAACAAGTTGGATGCTACATACGGACTCTAACTTCTTAGTTAGATTTGTCCTATTCAGTGTTGTTTGTCTCAAGAATCAGACTAATAACAAACCTGCCGTCTAAGACAATATGATTGGTTTAGTTTATGTTTTGGTCAAGAGTGAGGGAACATGTAGCAGTTTTTGGGTCAAAATGTGTATATAATGACAGTGGTTCGACCGTTGAGACAAGAAAAACGAGGAAGCAACTACTGATATTTCAAATCTGGAGACACAAAAACCATATCAAATTCAAAGCAAATGGACCCCACTTGAGAAGATACCAAAATTCTAGTTTATTCCTGAAAGGATTAAAAAAGAACTAATCAATTTGCATCATCACCAACGTAATACTTAATAGTAAGCATGAGCGAGGAAAAAAATAATTAAACCTATAATATTTTATTGAAAGTGGGTCATGATAGATAGGGTGACAAAGGGTCTTCCATGTAAAGAAAAAGCTCAACTATAAAAATACTGAACTCAGTTTTGGTGGTTTGATAAGGTCAAAAAATGTTGATACTACATATCCTGCACAGATCCTATTGTAGTGTGGACCTATTTTGAATCTCAAGATTACTTTACATAATTTGAGGTATGAGCTTAAAAATAAATAAAGTGATAAAGCCAACTTTTACCCCAAAAATATTTATTGGATTTGGTATTATTTCTAAAGTTTTACCATCCATGAAATTAAGCATTAAAAGCAAAAAAAAAAAAAAAAAAAAAAATGATTGATTGATTGGTTCCTGGTTGAGACAGACCGTGTTTTGATGAGATGATTGGGTTAAAAATATAATCATAATCTAATGTTAACATCATTGATTGTGATTGCCTTGATGCTTAAGCGAATTTTTTGGGTCCAGTCTCTATTATCCACAAAGTAAAAGCAATAGTCACTTAAGGCATTCACAATAATTTTCCTTCAATCCTAATTAACAACGCTTCAGGCCTGAGGGGAAAACTAATTAACAATACTTACAATCGTAATCTTTGGTAATTTTTATGATGCCATCTCCGGATTCTCTCATACGGGCTTGATCTACTTCTCCACGCGCCATCTTTCCCAGTCTGCTTAGTTTTCTTTCATCATCATAAGATAAGTTTGTGATTTTAATGCAAGTCCACGTCCATTATGTCAACAGTCAACATTTTTTCACTGTGGCATTTCCAACCTTCTCCCAATTACATAAAATTTTTCTGGAAAAATAACATAACATTGATACTGTAGTTCTACAGTACCGTCACAAAAATTATATACTCAGGCCCTGTTCATGCTTATGCTGTTTTTTTTTCCGAGTATAGGTGCATGGGTAGTTGTAAGCGCCATTTTTTATTTACTTTCCATTCTTTTTGCCCTTTTAAAGTTTTGTGTATCAACTCTCACACACACAAATTAATAAAGTAAATATGTATTTAATGTATGAAAAGTCGTAGCAAAGCAAAATTAAAAAACCCTGGGTATGGTGAGAGGGGCAATTTGGAGCATCTTTAATCATGATTTTGCCCCTAATCATACTTTTTTCAAGTACACTTTAATATTGTGCTCTTTATTTAGAGAGGTTACACGGCATGAATGGTACACATTGATATTGGCATGATGGCTTTGACTTGTGAGAAATCTCTATTGCCCAGTGGTCCCTTTCTCTCAAAAGAAATTCAGGCTATCCCTTCAATATTAGGCAGGCCCCTCTTGTCTCCTAGTCTTTTAACCTCTTGAAGCAAAGTGCACTAGATTGTTCCCAAAGATTCCCATACTAACAATGAAAATTTTTGAGTAGACACCAATATAGACCAAATTAATCATGAATACACATATAAATACATTATCAAGTAAGCTTTACTAAAGGGGAGAAAAACTTGTATGCCCATCCACAATTGATTTGATTAGTGAACTTCTTTTTAATTAAGAAGTTTGGTATTAAAGTCAAGGATTCAAATCTTCGAAATACAAAAGAAAGACAAATACTTTTAAGTAATGATAATATTGTAGAAATTATATATCTCCTTTTTTGCATAATAGAAAAAGAAAGATTTCCCTTCCCTTGTATCCAAACGCAACCTAAGAGAAGACAAGAAAAGCAGAAGGGATTCATAATAAAGGGGACAATGTAAGTGCTGAAGGACACTAGATTTCTCCGCACAACAAAAGAAGACAAATTTGTGGAGGTTCAAAAAGTGATACAAAGTGACATGCACACTATGTTATTATAATGAATGTGGGCCCTTGTGACCCCTTATTGCCACTCCATATAACAAACAAACAAACAAAGCATGGCCAACAGGCAACAAAGTGAATCCTGTTTGTCGCCCAAAGAGAGAGTGCATATATGACTTAACATATCCTCAAGAAATGACAATTCATGCAAACTGCTTTATCCATGGCCTCAATATCTTGTCCCACAAGAATCCCATGAGGTCCATTAACCCGAATGTGGGATTTTAGTTATTAAAATTATCCAGCAAAAGATAATGGAACACATTTTCATGCCACTATATGTCCACTTAAAAGCTCTCTCCACGAGAGACAAGCAATGAGCACTGAGCAGCACAAGCCCAGAAGTGGCTCTCAGGTTGAGAAGAGTATATTGAATATGGAAAATGGAAAGTCCTCCACTTCAGATGGAGAAACAAAAGTAAATCACAAACATCAACTAGGAACTAAACTCTGCAATTGCAATTAGGAATCATTCAACTACCCATCTTAACAGAGAAGAGGGCATGTAGCCTGTAGGAATACAAGTTACTGAACATGTTGAAAAATCGTGATCTATTCCTCAACATATGTGAAACCCCAAGGAAAATTTGAAAAAAGAAAAATTTAAAAGAATCATCCTTTTCAGCACAAGCATTCAAAGATCTATTAAATTGGTTCTGATGGGAGTTCTCTTTTCCTAGTCTTCCTGTGATTGTTCCATTAAAGATCCTTTTTAGCACAAGCCGTTGAAGATCTTCTAGCAGTATCTTCTGCTATTTGCCACTTCCTTACCTCCTCTCCCCTCCAACCAAACAAGATGCAGAAATACACTAACAGGCAGTAACAATAAATAAATTTGATTCTGAAAGCACAGACTAGATACACGCATCTTTATGATCCAAGTAACGTCTTGCAACAAAGCAAATATGTAAGATCAACTGACCAATGCAAGTGCATGTAAGAATACGTTCCCCAAATGAAATTACTAAACTTCGCAAGAGTCATTTTCTTCCATGCCAGTGTCTTATAAGCAACAGATGATCGTAAAAATGCAATTGCACGGTAAAGCCACCTTAGGCAACGTTTGGTACATTGGAAAATGTTTTCTAGAAAGGAAATGGGAAATGCACCTAGAAAGGAAAAGGGATAGATGTATTTCTCATTTCCTTTCTAGAAAACACTTTTCTACATAACATCGCATTAAGGGATGCAATCTATTTTCCCACAAGCACACTGCGGTTCATTTCATCAAAAACAAGTTTATAAGCCATTACATTCCATCCATTTTACTGCAACTTGCAAACAATGGTAAAGGAGGTTCTCCCTTCCCTCATTAATACACCCAATCAATGGAATGGCACATACTTGCTATTCTATTCCTTCATAAACCCAAGAGAATTATGCATCCAGAAACTGGAACGTCCTTTGATTCTATATAACAAGTATCTCAATCATTTAACTAAGATGTCTTTCTCAGATATATGTTCCGACGCAGACATAATGGAAATGACCTGCACAACCAATCATTCTTAGAATAATATTACAGATATGGACAGGATTGTGGAGGCCAATTCTTCATGTAAAAGATAGGTCTGCAATCTGAAACATCAGATATCTAGAGAAAAATCTATATATTTTTGTACCTTTGAAACAGAGACAAATTTGTTAAATTAAAATGTGTCAAGCAACTATGCTACGTTTATTATTTTTAATGGGAGTAAAATACAGATGGGTTTTGGTACAATATGAAATGATATCTAACAGTAAGTTTGCATTCCTATCAAACACTAACACAATCAACAGTAATCCAAAGAAACTAAATGACATTAACAGATGGCCCACATTGGCAACTCACTACATGCAACCTTTTGAACAAATTCACCTCATAGTGAATAATATTCTATGAAAGATAAAAGACCACCACTCCATTTTAGGTCCAGTACCAAAAGAATAATATCCATTACAACTGACACTTCAGGAATGAACTCAAATAGAAAAAGGAGAGAAAGATTTGAAAACACTATTCTGAGAAGTAAATCAGTTGGCTCATTGAATGTGCTTAGGGATTTCACCTTTTCTTAAAAGGGAAAGAGAGTATTCTGCAGCATCAATGAGGTCAACAATGTTGTGCACTGACCGTTCCTCAGAACCCAGCAAAAAAATGGCACGTACCTCTGCCTTCTTAGCCATTCTTGCAGCTAAATTAAGTGGTAACTTTGGAGAGTTAAGGCTTCTCAGTATTTGGCGATACAATGAGAGAACCTTTCCTCTATTTCGGGCCAAATCCTCTGCTGTAGCCCATATCAAGCCCTTTGCCATCTTGCAGGACTGCAACCATAAATGAAAAGGAAACCAAAAGGGCGATGGGTCAGCAGCAGCAGCAGCAGCAGTGGTGGTAGTAGTTAGTAGTAGTAGTAGTAGTAGTAGTACTAGTACTAGCACTAACAATAACAATAATTCCAAATGCAGGGCCAGGAAGCGCAGAAACACAGACACTTCAACAAAAGAAAAATGCTTCACCATTTTTTCCTTCAAGAAGTGCTTCTCCGGGTGGGGGAATAACAAGGAAAGAAACTTTGTTGTGTTAGAAAAAATTGCATCTACTCATTTCAATTGGAAATGTTTCCTATGAAAAATGCAATCGTGAGGGCAGTTCAATAGGAAAAAAATAAAAGAGAGTGATGCTACCAAATATCAAAAGACGCCTACGGGCTGTAAAATTAGATAGCGGCAAATCAAGGTTGATCTCACAGAAAACTTAGTTAATCAGTAATTAGGCAATAAAAATTCTTTTTTCGTTTAAGTTGAGAAAATCAAGATTGAATTTGAATTAAGTAAAATAAACTTGAAATTAAACAAGTGAGAGTTACCAATTAAGAATTGCAAAAGACAAAAAGAACAACCTAGAGCCACTAATCCATTGTTGATCCTTAGATTTTATCCCCACTAGATTAATTATACTTAATTAGTTAATCTAGAGTATTAGTAGTTAAAAGTGCTTGTTGGTCCACTTATAACTCTACCTCAAGTAATTATGTAATCTCTCACACAATTATATAAGGCGTAATTTAATCCAATTTCACTCAAATTTGATTATGCGGAGCCTCTAGGAAGATGTCTATCCTAGGTACAAATTAGATCAAATCCAATTCCATATTACTTAATCCCACGGTCTATCTAAGATTCCCTTCGTCAAGGTCAATCCTAAACTCCCAAAACAAACTCAATGGTGGCCAAGCACTGAGCAGGTTAAAATTAAATACAAGATTGAGTAAACTAGAGTAAAGATTAAGCATAACCAAACAATGGGAATAATCTCTAAATTACAAACAACTTCGTAGTATCTAGGTTGCAAAATGAAATTAGCTACACATGACTAGTCAATTCAAATTCAGCAACAGTAATTCCGAAACAGGATGACATAATGGAATGGAAGAAGAATGTTAACAGTGGAATGAAAAATCTGAATACTGGAATGATGAAAGCGGAATGATTGTAAACCGGATAAGAACCCAAGTCTCCAGCAACTGTAGCTCCGTTCCAGCTCGACAATGCTTCCTTCCTACTAGAACCAGTCGGTCCAGAGAAGAAGAAGAAACGTCAATGAACCAGAGTCGGTCTCCAGCTAAGCTCCAGCAGAAGAACGGCGCACTCCCCTCTCCACAATCCGATCGGCGGCCTCAAGAGGAAGACGACGGCGTCTTCCCTCAGGTCCAGCGAATCATAAAATTACCCAGAACAGTGCGGCCCAGTCCCTCCCGCAGCCAGCTTCTCAGCCGATGATGAACAGTCCCTAGGTCTCCAAAGTGGTCTCCCCAGAACGCTGCCGTCCTTTGCTGTGGACTTCCCGAAAACTTCATTCTCCCAAACAGTGCGTTGTTCAGCAGCTTCAAACTCTCCTCCACGGTGTCGTTTCTGGCAATAATGAAAGAGGGGAGAAGTAAAGATAAAATAAATAAAAACTAAAAAGAAAATAAAATAAAATTAAAACTGAAATAATATAAGATAAATTTTTAAATTACCGATAACTACTTTTATTTATTTAAAACCAATTCATTTACAATGAAATCCCCAAATCATGCTCAAAATTAAATCTTCCAATTAACTCTTAGAAATCTACTAAAATGTATTGATAACGCTCCAAAAATCACTTAAATACAATAATATCTTTATGGATGTTTATATATCTCTCATTATCTCCTATAATCTCTAATATATCTTATTATCTCTATATCCCACAATTATCTCCTATTATTATATAATCTGAAATAAAAGCCATGTATCATGTATTTAGGAACTCTTGAATAGAATGAGAAATACTCTCTCTTCTTCTATATTATTTTTCTCTATTTCTTCTTTATTTATAACACTTAAAATATTCTTTAAATATATTAAAAATAAAGAGTTATCTGAGAGCGTAGCCAATGCAGCATTATTGAATTCTAATTCATCATGTTAGGATGAATTATTTAAAGAGAAGGGAGCATCAGCTGCGCCATTGTCGTTAACCAAGTCATTCTGATTTAGAAAGAAAAAATCTGTTAACTTTGGTAACTTCTAGCTATACCGGAAAGCATCACATCAAAGTAAAAAATAACCAACAAAATTTAGCATTTAAAATTCACCAACGTTGCATAAGTTACCAACCTTTTACTACCATTATTTGGAATTATTAGGGAAGTAGACAAATTCCAATGCTGAAGCATAACACGAACTAAATTATTAAACATCCAAACTGAATTCCCACTAAGAGAGTACCTCAATATTGCTTCTACTAAAAAAATATGCTTATGCATAGTATGAAAAAAAAATGCTAGTATTAAGAAGGCTTTGATGAAACATGACTGGATTCACATTAATCGGATCCTTGAAAAAATTGTTATATTAAAAATAGGGGGGGGGGGGGGACCAGAGACCCAAGACACTTGGCGAAGTAGTAAGGGTGAGATGAAGCATAAATAGCAACCTAAATTCAAATCTGTTGTAAATTAGTTACGTGGGACTGCACAATAATTTTTTTTTTAAGAAAAGGGAGATATGAGAATATCACAATCTCAATATCTAGCTGCTAAATGAGAAGAATATGTGAATTTAACGAGGCATTAATTCGACCCTTGCCTTTAACAAGCATCAGTTTATAATAGTTTATTATTATAGCCTAAAAATATATATTTAAGGGATTAAACCTAAATGGGGTTTCTCCCTTCATATGGCAGGGTCGACAAATTTACAAGTAATGATTCGAATTTTCAGCTAATAACAAATACAAAACTGATATATATGACAAAGCATTCTATGATCTGCATGTCGTGACCTAAGCCCCCTTGAATGAAAGTGAATGTTCAGGAAAGTTCAGCTTCTGGCGTGATTGTTCTTCGCCTCTGAGTCAAGTTTGTGGTTGAATATTCACTATCACCATCAGAAGATCCAACACTTGAGACCGATGAAGCCGGGTTGATTGAGCCTGTTGCTGGATCGGGTCTCGGCGTTTGATTTCTGAATGCCTGGGAAGTAGCACTAGGGTTTTGTGTTTCTGTTCCTCCAGATGCTGCATGTCCCTGAGCTTCTTCAGCAAGACGCTTCAGAAGGTTCATGACTGTGGGAAGAAACTTGGATGATATAGACAGTAGTCCAGGCAGCTGCAACAAAATAAACAAGTTACGCAGATTTCAGCATCTTCCACCAGGCCCAAACAAATCCATTTTGAGCTCCTAGTTAAACAGTATGGACCCTAATCATCTGAGAAGAACAGGATGTAACCCGTATAAAACAGTTCAAGTAAGAGCAAAAAGCCCGATGGTAATTTGTAAGTCATTCACTTTCTAGTTGGCAGGAGAAAAAAGTGCATCCAACTGGTGATGAAGGTATTTAAAACAGAGGTCACTTGTACTCACAGCACCATGTCGAAACTCTCCTGCAATGTCCATCTGCACCCATAAGGCCTTTCCAAGTAGATAAGCCACAAAAATTACCATCAGGTAGAAAGGATTTCTGTTTCAGATAGAAAAGTCAGTGAATATAACCATAAGTTTACAAGTAGTTAACCACAAAAAACATTTTGGAAAGTGATATTTACTTTAGAAGCAGCATAAATTCATTAAAACCAAGCACAATCATAGCCAGTATAGCCCATGGTGGTGGTAGCCAATTGTTACTCTGCTTGTAAGCCTCCTGAACTCACACAAGAAATTTAAACAAAAATGAATAACAGTTTCGTTACTGTGCCTGGATTACTACCTAGGTAAATAGAGAAAAGAATGATGACCAGTATTTTGTAATAAACTGCAAGGGGAAAAAAACAAGAGGACAAAGAATACCAAGAATTAGTATCTACGAGCAAACAAGATGGATATAAGTCTAGGAAGCCAGAAAAACTATTGAAACACACGCACAAACTGAGTTTATCTATGGAAATGGACCCATTGAAGTACAAAAAATCCCGGCAAAAACAGCAACTAGGTGCAGAAGAATGGAAACCCAGAAATAGAGATAAAATGATCAACATGTCTGACTAGTATTCATCCCTATTCCCCTTACAACTTTGAGATCACTTCTGATAAGAAGGCCTTTGAGAAATCTCCACAAGCCCAAACAAGTCATAGAAGTGACCGAGGTATGTGAGCTAAATCCATACACTAACCCTATAACGTTAGCTTTGTGGTTCAGTGCATTCAGAATAATAATTAAAAAAAAAAAATCTTAGCGCTTTGCATGGGCCTCTCAAGCCATATTGGCAGCAATTAGTAGAAATCAGAAAAATGGAACCCCATTCCCAGATTTGAAATGCATAATAATCAAATTTTGCATCTGAAAATTCAGGCCCAATTTCATAGATGCTTCTTGTGCCTCGCCAAACATATGTGCAGGGATATGCATGCATAAAATTCACTACACAGAATGAAGCCGCCAACCCCAAAAAATTTGCATTGTATGTAGTCGTTACCGTCAAAGATCATAAATTCAAAACAAAGGTAAACTGAAATTTCATAAATTCTTGGAAAAACCATTTTTTCTGGAATTACAGATGGAATTCCATTGTTTTAAAAAAAAAAAAAATTGTGCACAGAAAAGCACAATCTAATGAACTACCTGTGCCGAAATAGCTTGGGTGACTGTATACTCAGTTTCTGCCTGGAACTGTCTCCACAAAGACTTGCACTGCACTGGAGTAATGAGTGTATCGCTTGGGGAAACCTATATTTGTAATAAATTCACATTTAATAATTTTGAGTTCATAATATCAAGGAAAACCACCTATATGCATTATATACTACCTCCTCCCATGAGCTAGCTGCTAGTGGGTCTGCAGAAGCTTCTCGACTTTTATTTCGTGAGGATGTAACAGCAACAGTTCCATCCAGGAGAGATGATTGAAGCACATTTTCTATCTGATCTGGCTTTTCATCCAACCGTATGGCAGCTATATCTGATAGAAGTTTGAGGGACTGATACATGACCCAAGAAGATATTTGTTCAGTTTGAAACCAATAACTTCAAAAAGTTCCCAAGTGCACCCAAACCAGTGAAATTAGCATTCAATAACGCTACATTACCGCAGAACGGGCATCTTTCGTGATAGCTCTAATATCTTCCTTCCCAGTCCAAACCCTTGGGAGGGAGTCATTGTCATGACTAAAAACTGTAGAGAACCTGAAGATAGTAGCAAAAAACAGTAAGCCTAAAACTAAAACTGTTAGGATTACTTTTAGAAAATTAGGAAAATACATGAAAAGGGAAAACATGCTTTTGTGGGTCAGAACTTTGATTTCCCATTTTGGAGATAGAAGTAGACAAATAGAGTTTGCTATAGGGTGACTATCGTCAAAAGCTACGAGAGGGTTGTTGTAAGAGCCGGAAAGTCACTTTTTGGGGTTCTATAAATCATCCCTTGTGGGTTCAGCAGGAGTGTCGAGAATTTGGAATTCAACTTGGCCCTTGGGGAAGGAGAGAACAAACCTCTCGAAAGTTGGCAAGCATAGTTGGTTGTAGTGTGTCCTAACTGTGTGTGGGGCTTTGTGTCTTTGTTTATTGTTTCTGTTTCTGTGGTGTAGTCTGAATTAGTAACCGTTGGCCTCCCTTCAATGTGTAACAGAGTAGTATTTGTTCTATGAATGTAATGAGTTTTTAGCTTTTGAGTGTATCTAGTAAAAATTTAGAGTTTCTGGGTTGGGTCCTATCAAAAACCAACAAACGAAAAAAAGAAGGGAAAAAATTATCCAAAACCGTCCTACTTAAATCCTATGAGAAACATGATTTATGACAGAAGAAAATTACAGAAACAGGAAAAGCCTCACTCTTAAACAAAGTTGATGGAAACAGAGCAGAGTGGATAATAACACATATTAACATTACAATGCCCTCAATTCTTTCCGCATGTCTAACAAAGAAAGCCTCTGAAAAATACATGAGCAGTACATAATAAAATCTAAATGCCAGAGCAACTATGTCCCATAATTAGAAGACAACTTCTGCTTGAAAAAAACCAACTCTCCACTCCAATCAAAGAAATTGGAGGGCTATAACACAACATGGAGATATGGAATCATGACTCAATTTAATCCTTACTAATGTCAAAACAATAATCATTCAATAATAACAGCTTAATCACCAAAGATTTAATAAAGCAGATTCCAAATGAACTAGCCAGAGGCGCTTTATAGTTACCTATCTTTCATGCGGATCAAAATCTTTCCAGCTTCTTCTCTTGCTTTCTTCTCTACCACTTTTCTTGCATAGTCCCTCAAGTTCTGTTCCATTCTGTCAACTGATTCTTGATCCAATTCAAAACCACTAATAGCAGCTAAAAATTCTGATATAGCAGCTTCAGTCTCACGTTTCAGAAGTTTTCTAATTGAAAGCCAGGTGTCCTTTCCACCTGCTTCCAAGAGGGACTCCATGGGCTCAGCCAAAGCTTTAGCTAGTTGTTCCTGGAAGAGATACATATCTTTTAGCAGTTGATGTGCTGATATTACAAGCACCACTTAAACATCACCAGGCACAAACATTTAATTTCCATTTCAGTAACAGCAGTAGTCATTACCTCAGAGTTAGTCATGATCCCTGATATTTCTTCACTTTGCACAGACACAGCATGCGCATCCACGTCACGACGAAGCTTTTCTCGCACTTTTGAAGCATCCCAGTTAGCCTGCTGTACAGCAGCATCTGAAAAGCGTAACACGTTAATTTCCCAAAAAAAAAAAAAAAGCATACAAATATCTTAGTGATTGATGTTCTATATATATGAAGATAGATATTGAAAATCGGAGTATCGAACCGATTTGTCTGTCTAGAAAAAACCATGAACAATTTAATATGTATCAAACCTTTTCTTATCACCATGTAATATATAGATCTCACATATAGAACAAATATTTTTCCATCAATATAATATATGAAACTGAATCCTCAGAAGAACTTATTCTCTTTGGTTTTCCTCTTTCTTTGACCATAAAAACCTGCATTTAAATTCATTGGATCTGACGGCTGAAAGAAATACAATGCATGCTTGATAGATTGTGACTATTTGGTCTCCATACAGGGTAACTGGGGGCTTGCGAACATGTATGCTCATACAAATCAGGTTTAATCTCACAACAGTAGTCATTCCATGCAAAATTAACTAGCAAAGGTAAGAATTACAGGCAGAAATATAAGTAGAGAAGCAATCATGCACAGACGCTGTTATGTAATTGTAATAAAAGAGGGTTGGGTAGGGGTTAGTCAATGAATATTATTGAGTCCTTGAGTATATAAATAAAGGGCCTGGGTAGTTTGTAATAAAGTGTGTGATGAGTTGAATGGAGTCCGTGCTTCTCTAACACCCCCCCAACCAAAAAAAAAACCCTCCCTCTCGTTCCCTATCTTTCGTCCCTTCTCTCTATCTCTCTCTCTCTTTCCCAATGACAAATACACATCAGACACCCAAATGGTCAGCTCATCAGAAAACGCGTCCATAGAAAAATACGGGGGAAATGTATCTACTAAGAAGAAAAATCCTGTCCAGGATTACCAGCAGACCCTTGGTCAAACTCAAGCATGCTAGATTGAATCCCAGTACGAACAGATGCAGCAAAGCCTTCTCCACTTTTTAGTGACTGCTCCAATTTAGTCTTGAAATTTTCAACAGCTTTAGCACGTAGATGCCCCAGCATTGTTGTATAAGCAGGGAACACATGCTGAGAAGTTTTACACAAAAAAGGGAACATGTTAACCACAAAGATATATAAAATAAAATAATGAAAGGACTTATTTTCACAATTGATGCACAGAGACGCGTGTGCAGTCAAGGAATTCCCTTCAAAGCCATTTCAAGATGATTGGGAGTTTAACAATACATCAAAACACAATTACCAATTGATACAAGTCTTAGAAAGCCCCTCATCAGTTTATTAAGTGATGAGGTCTATAGAATATTTAATTAAGATAAAATTAGCCTTTGGAAGGTAACTAAGCTTAATGAGGTCTGGCCCGAAAACAAGTCTCCACAAGGCCAAGGCTTTTACTTGAAGAAGAAACAGATTAAAGAATCAGAGATAGAGCCTTAAATACGCATGCACAGAAGGAGGGAGATTGAAAGCCAGGCTCAAACATTTTAATTATACATAAACTTTTGAACCCTAAAGATTTGAACCAATGATCATACAAAACTCCTCCAAACAAAAGTAGACCCAATAAACAAAACATATGAGCTGCAACTGAGGCTCACTGTGTCAAAACGTGAAAGGATGAAGGTACCCACAAAACTTAAAAGTTCAATAAGCTGAACTATTGGAATGTTGATCAAAATAACAGCCACGTGCCCTACACCTTCATTGAATCAAAATAACATTTGCCAGTTTACTTGACTTAGGATAACCAAAGACGTCTCAGTTGATGCCTAAAGCCCTTCACTATTGCATAAGAATTCAGCCGCAAAATAAAAAAAAAAGTAAATAGAGTAAGAAAGCCATATTATGATTTTGTAAGAACATGCAGTCTTACATCCAACGCCTTTGACTCCAATTGCTTACGTTTTGCATTTCTCACACCTTCATCAAAGTAGATTGCCTCCATATCGTATCTGGTGAGAATATAGCATTACTACATGCAATTATATAAACGAAGAAAAATTCTAAACCTTAGAACAAAGTATAACTATGACACTGCCCACAAATAGTGTTACAATGAAAGTCACATGCAAATCAACTTCGAAGGACAAAAAGAACAAAGAACCATCAGTCAATCTCCTGGGTTAGATACTTCTCGAGAGATGTAGATTCAAATCTGAGTTTTGCCAACCAGCTGCAAAGGCCCTGGTCAATCCTCACCATATAGTGGAGCTACGTAAACTTCCTCTTTGGTCCAAATTACTTCTCAGTTCTATTTATTTATTTTTAACTCAAATTGCATAACATATCATATAAATGCCGGACCAAAAGCATATTATGGATGAAAATACTACAATTTACAAGCAACTGGAGCTTACCGAGAAAGGTAGGCATCTATAATTGAGCTCAGCTTCTTTCCAAAACCTTGCACTGGACCTAGTTGAACAGCTTCTTCCAATGCCAACCAACCCTAGGTAAAATCCCATTTGTCAATAACTTAATTTCAAATCTAATTTATTCACCTAAGAATAGTGAGGTATAGAAAAAGCACCTCATCAGAGAGCAAGTGGCTAAGCATCTCATTTGCAATCTCTTCGCAACGAACAGTGGCAACCATTACCTGTTAAATTAATTAGCAAACTTCAACGAATACCAAACTTTTTTATCCATCCAAACAATAAGATTTTAAGGAACCTTGTGAGCAGGAAGATCAAGATCCTTGTTCTCTCGGATGATTTTCCATATCTGCTGTGCACTAAAAGAAAATCCAGAAGCAGGCACAACATTGCACCGATCACCAGCAAGACCTCCAGGAGATATAGAATGGTAGAACCGCTGCCTTAATTGAGCAACCTGTGCGAAGAGTAAGGATAAATCTACACAGTAGCCAAGATGAAGAAAAGAACAATAGAAAAACTCAAATACAGAACATCTAAAATTTTGTTATTATAGACATGGCAGGGTCTGACAATGACACAGAAGATGCATTATAAAGATAAGCCAGGCCTAAATGTATAATTAAAATTGATGCAATAGTTCCATAAAACGGTACCTCCTCTTTGAATTTCTCCTCCTTGTCTTCATAGCTTGATAAAGCAGTAACCTCCACCTTTATTATATGTTAAAAAAATAATAATTATATCCAATAATAAGCTAAAGCTTCATTCTGAGAAATAAAACGAGCCACAACAGAGACACATGGAATAGGGACATGGATCCCATCTTACATTAAAAAATTCACTGAGAGGAGTATCTTTATGTGCTTCAGGCTTCCGTACTGCATCCCATATCTGAGGATTTTGTATTGCTTATATTTGCTTCTGAGGAAGATGAAACGAAAAAGAAAAAGAAAAACCCACAAATGAGAAGGAAATAACATGTAACCTTTTGGATATCTTCTCTTAAAATAGGCTCCAGATTTTCCAATGGGGTCTGCATAATAACCAGTGAGTCAGTAAAATGGAAGGCATAAAATAACATAACGACTACACTTTCAAGAAAGGATTGTGTTGCAGACCCTTGTTTTGTCACGTATAACAAACAGCAATGTTGTCTTGCGGGGACTGAATAAACGCATCATGACCTACATATAATAAAAGGACCAAAATGTGAAACTCAATTAATGAATATCAACCACAGAGAGTGATATGGCTGTAAACAACCTGAAAGACAGTTTTCAGAAGAGGTTTGTTGGCTGCTTGTTCTCGACCAATATCATGACACCACCTGTGGATAAAATGAAGTCCTCAAGAAACATCCAAAATGAATTTAAGCATGCATGACTTGGGTAAGATCCAATAATCATTGAACTAGAACTCTTTTAGCATGTGGTTAAATCTGACAATTGATTTGAACAAACGGAAAAAGGAGATTCTAAAGGATATGAAAAGACTACTGCGCATGTCCTTGTGTATCTGTAATCATTAAACTTCCAAACAACCTTTACTTCCACATTGTTCGTCCAGAAAAGCACTACTTTAATATTCCAACTTATACTCCCTAACATTTAATGTCACTAATCTTAAAGTTTCAAGTAGATGGGTTATATAAACAACATTGTTTATATAGGAACAGACATGACATAAAACAAGAAGTTAGGAAGGACATTGGCGATTATACCACTCTGTCACAATAAAAAACAGGATGTATCAAGAGTTCATAGCGCATATAAACAAACAATCTCTTACAACACAATAGTGCAGAAGCTATTTAATATCTCAAGAACTATGCACAAACAAGTCGGGTGTGAATAGTTTTGCAAGAAAACTTCACAAGTATCTAACAACAGCCAATGCCCAGCTTTCAATATCACCTTTGGATTCAGCCCCGTTCAATTAAATATAAAGCATCACATCCAGGCTGAGAAACTTACATGTTTATCAGAACAACATCTGCTATTGCCAAAGCAAAAAGAGCACTCTGTTTCTCAAAGGCAGTATCATCCTGAGAGTTATATTTAAAACAAACAAGAATGTAAGTTATACCCCACACACACAACAGAGCCAACCGAGCAGAAAAAATGTGTACCACAACTGCCAATGCATTCATGCAAAAACATGAACGTGTTTGCAATAAAGCAACTAGGGCCTGGCCTTGAAGGGAACTAATAGCATAGATTCAGAAGTTCAACAGATATTATAAAGAATTTAAGACTAATCATGTGACAGATTGCCCCTGCCTACAAGCCCTTGTGTGAGTGGCATAAAATATTGGTTTAGAAATAAATCAGTAGGAGCAGGGGCAAAAAAAAAAAAGAAGAAGAAGAGGAAAAGGAAGAAATTTATTACCTCACCCCTCTCCCTTCCATCAGTACCCTCTAAATCCATGGCAATTGTGCATGGATCAATACCAACACACTTGGCTATCCAAATGCCCTTTGTTGTTTGAGACCTGCAAACGCCCAATATATTGTTATTACTGTCTTACGCTTTTAAACTTCAATACAATATGAAAACTAATAAGATGCATGAATGATGAGTTCTTTCATTTTCTGTTTTCTCTTTATACTCTCCTAATTTCCCCCCTTCCCTCCAAAAAGCATTGCTTAAGAGTCTTAAAAAAAAAACCAACCTTCCCCTGTATGCATCCATCTCCCTGAAATTTGTGCGAAAAAGATGATTCAGTAAGGTACTTTTTCCTGAACAGAAGAGCAATAGAAGTAAGAGATTAGATCTAACATTTAATATGAAAAGTGAACTTAATAAACTGCGTGCTGTAGACTGTTACTATGTCCCTTTCTTTGCCCTCCAATACCAGTTTCAATATCCATCTTACATTCCATTGATTGTAATTAATTATGCATAGTATTAAAAAATTTCGTGACCAATATTACTTTAACCTGCCAGTGACATCAATAAAATTCAACACCATCCCAAATTCTTGAAACAGTTTTGGTTTATGTGATGATGGTTTGTCAGTTAAATCGCCAACTTCAACCAGCATTACCTGACTCCAAGGACGAAACAGTTCCTTCCACAAACTCCACCCCAATTTAAAGGAAAAAAAATAACGGGGGCCCGAAGGAGCATCAAAAACAAAAATATTAAACCAAAAAGCTCTTTAGAGCTTATGTCTGTTCTACAGCAGGCCCATTTCCATAAGGTAAGACAGACTGTAAAAACCAGCCAACGGCCAGAGTAAGGGATTCTTCATAGATTTGAGAGGATGGCTTATTCGGATCCACATAGTACAATTCGGGCAAACAATAGATTAGGTTCTCAAGAGATTGAATATTGCAGTACAGTAACTAAGCTAGAACAATGACAGCTATCGTTCACAAGTTTCCAGATATGCATAGAAGAAGGACAAGGAAAACATATAAGCAGGAGAGGAAGTTTAAAGCCGTTAATTCAAGCTCGCCAAGATTCAAGAATCCAACTCAAAACTCCTTAGAGGATTAACTCTATTGAGCTAAATCTAAATGACCAGTATTCAATTTCGAAGTTCAGAAACCCGTATCCACGCACTTAGCCACTTACCACTACTCTGGGGACCCATAACAGCGACCACCGCATAGGAAAGGCCACAGTCGGCGACCTTCGCTTTCTTCATGAAAGCGTCCAACCCAGCAACATTGAACACGCCGTCGCCGTCAATGAGTTGGGTAGCGCAACAATCTTCCTCCCCCATGGTTCACTGCTCACAGCAAGTGAAAACCGACTTCGCCGAATTAAAAACAGCGAGAAACCAAGTGAATTAGGAAGAATCAGAGCAAAATGAAAAGCTTGATCAAACTCAGTTCAGCGACAGGCGTCACCTTCTATTATGATGTGAGATGAAGATTTCTTCGCCTTGGGAGATTCTATACACAGTGTAGGTGAAGGAACTGGGCGCACGAGGAGAGCAGAGAGAGAGAGAGAGAGAGAGAGAGACGAGTCGTGATGTGTCTTCCCCCTGAGTAGGTTGGAACTCGGGACTCGAACCGATGACTAGTTCGGAACTTGAGAACTGTTTAAACCATTATTTTAATTGAAATTTTGATTGATGTTTTTCAGGCAATTAATAGAAATTTTAATTAAATTGTGTGTTTCTCTATTTAATATTAAAATAGGATATTAGAAACAGGGGGAAAAACTTAAGTTGATTTGCTTAAATTTATTACTATCTTCGGTTCTTAATATAAGACCTTATTTGACTTTTATTTTGATCCTAAATATAAGATTTCAATCTATTTTGTCTCTCATATTTATGTAACTTTTCCTAAGGTAGTCTTTCTAATAATGATAGTTTTAGCCAATACACTTGATTAGTAAGGATATTTTAGAAAAGACAACATCCATTTAATTATAAATAGATAATTTAATTTCTTTTTAATCTACTCAAATTAGTCAACTAGCTCTTATATTTAGGACCGGAGATTAAGGGTGGAAACAGGCCAGGCCAGGCCAGGCTTTGCTATTAAAAGGCCAGGCCTGTTTTGGAGCCTATGGCCTAAGCCTGGCTGTGGCCTGTTACAGCTTATTTTCAACCTGAGCCTCCTGTATAAAGGCCTGGCCTGGCCTTGAAGCCTGTTAAAAGGCCTGTATTTAAAAAAATTCAAATTATAATAATTATTTTTTTAAAAAAGCTAAGATTAAAAAAACGTACATAATAATTATTTAGTCTTGTCTTTTATTTAAATTTTAGTATCATAAGTACTATTTTAAATCTTAATATAATTTATAAGAATATTATGAAAATAATTGTAATTATATGTTAAAATTGGAATAAGACTACGTTTAAGTACACACACAAAATTAAAATTAAGACAAATAATAAAGAGGAAAAAATACTAATTTATAATGAATAAAGAGGGTATCATACTTAAATTAACATATACGTAAGTTAGTTATTTATCATTCTTGGACAAAATTTTCTTTCCTATTTCTTTATATTTTTAAGATTTAAAATCACATTATTTATTGATATTATTATTTTAAATTATATTTTATCTTCACTGTCATTAACTTCAAAATCTAAGAAAAGATTAAGCTATTAACTCATATTAAAATTAAAAAATAAATTAAAAGAGCACATTAACAATAATAGCATTAATTAATTTTTATATATTATGATTATAAATTCCTAACAGGCCCAGGCGGCCTAACAGGCTTAAAGGCTTTTTAAAAGCTAAGCCTGGCCTGTTTAACTAAACAGGCCTTCAAAAAGGCCTGAGCCTGTCTTTTTGGGAAACAGGCCAGGCCAGGCCAGGCCAAATGCAGGCCAAGCCATAGGCCCTGAAAGGCCGCCTGGCCTGTTTCCACCCCTACCGGAGATAGTATATCTAATTTTCAATCAAAAGGGTGTAATGGGGTTTCAAACACTCCTAGTGACATGAGACTTTGCTATTGTTTTAATTTTCAGGCAAATGAATATTGCATTATTAATGCTAATATAATAAAATTCTAAAATTTTATCTATGCGAACTCTTGCTACTAAAAAAATCAAGCACTAAAATTAATAAAAAAAATTTATAACTTAATAAATATAAATAAATGGACTTGAATTTTTTTTAAAACAATCGTAAAGATGTGAGGAGATATGATCATTTTAGTTATTTTATAAAAAAAAATCAAAATTTGCTTTTTTAAGAGCCAAAACTATTGCACTCTTAAATAATAGTTGTTACGTGTGATTGGAGAATGAATATAAAATTTTATTTTTAGGTCACTTGCACTAAATTCATTTTAACAGAACAATTTTCAGGGCCCTTTTTGGTGATTTCTCTTTTAACAAAACAATTTTGTTGAGCAGATTTTTTCTGGCCTGTTAAGATAAATGTAATAAGTATTTTGAATCATTTCATCCCGACACAATAACCGCAGTTAAAGTAAAACCTGATGACCTGAAAATTTTGGTGGCAAGCAATTGTGCACATCATCAAGCATCATGAGTAATTAAAATAAAATTGCAATAGTGATGACCACTACGCATCATGGTCACTCGTTAGTTTACCCTTACCCTTGGTTTTTTTTTATAAATTACGCACAGCTGATACAAAAGTAGTTTTCACGGTTAAGAATAAAAAAGAGCAAAATCTTGTCAATGATGCCTAGTCCCAAAAGTCACGAAACAAACCTCAAATGCTTCATTGTTTATATTGCATGAAGATGTTTTGGCGTTAAATTAGCCTTTGAACTTGCATAAATCATTTCATTCTAGAAAGCACAAGCCCCCGGGGAACATCAGATTCGCGTTCTTTTTCTTTCTGTTTTTTTGGGCCTGACAGGTTCGCATTATTGTACAAGTATCTTAAATACAGGCTTTAAAATTTGGCAGGAAGCCGCATTAAAAAAAAAAAAAAAAACCAGAAAAATGCCAAAGCATCTCTAGCGAATAATCAACTACAGTGTTTCTGAAACCCATGCTTGTAAAACAAGCTCTTGACATGTCCAATTCATTTGAACAAATGGGTTAATCCCGCGCATCACAAGCTCTTCCAAGAACTTCTGGGTATCATCAGAAAGAAATAACACGTTCAATAAGACTGCGTATAAGCCTTGTCCAGCATTCAGCTCCAGGCTGGTCGGAGGGCTAAGCAATAGCACAAATATGTCAAGTTTCTAAAGGTTTCAAGGTTTTCAAGCTATATAGAAACAATGATCTCACACTGCAAAGTAAACTCCCTACTATGTTAGGGCAATTTCTCACATTCTTCCCACTATTTCTAACCACAAACTGAAAAACCTGACATTTTCTTACGATTACCCCATCAACAATCTAATGCCATTGAGATGACCTAGCAAATAGTGGGGTAAGGCTCCCGTATATTGATAGATAATAGATATATAGAAGTTATCACATCACAACTGAATCAATCAGGTTTAAATTCTAAAATCTAAACCACTAAGAAAGGTCATTATGCAATTGCAAAGAGTGCGCAAAAATGACATAAAGATATCATTAGGAACTCGACGTAAAATAAGCAATTGAGGACAAAAAGACAAATCAAATAAAGGTCATTTACTCATGATCATCTATAAATAAGGATAACAAGCATTGACATCGAAAAACCCAGTACCATTAGATAACAAAATGATAGAAATAATACAAATATAAAGACATGATCAAAACCATGAACACCCAAAACTGCCTCGTCAAGAGATGAAGCCAACCCACAAAGGCACTGGAATTAGATGATGTGCCTGATCACTAATCTCCTTCTTCCTGAAAGAACATCCTTCTGTTAACCGAGCTCGGCCACCCGTTGGCTGGCACAATACGGTCTGGCAATTTCCACAGACAACAACTGTTTGCGAGTGGCTAAATACGGTGGTTCTGCAGGCATAAAATGTTCTAGCTTTAAGACCAAATGTTCAAATCAAGCCTTTCTATTTTTTTCACACTCGCAAAAAGCAGAATAACAAACAATTCAACAGCAGGAAAATTCCACTTGAAAGATATTGATGTTTGAGTAACTTACATATTGAAGCAACCTTGACATTTGACGTCCTACATAGATTCATAATCAAAATCAGAAATAGAAAATAAGAGCAGCAATGATAACTACAGGCACCATTGAACTTAACGAGAGCACGTAAACTGCACACAAGATATATTTGGACTAAAAGTAATTCGATAAACAACATCGTGCCTGACTAAAGTGACTCCTTTTCCAAATAATAGGTCCTTAATTGACGAAGGAAATAATTACCATGAAGAATGAATTCGGAGACTGAACGAGACGTTTAAGCTTGTGCTTCCTCTTTTCGATCTCGGCCGGAGGATTCAGTAAATCGATATCGTTCTGGAGAACCTGAAAACGCCAATGACCACGTTATAACCGCCAAACAGGCATTCGAACGAGCACAGAAGATAAGAAGTCCATCCAATTGTAGAAAAGGAGCAAGAAGTAGATAAAGCACAAGCAACGAGGCCTACCATTGTTGATCTCTCGGCAAAGATCGCAAGCCCCAGAAACTCGAAGAGAATGCAAGGGTGCGACTGCGATAGTGGCGGTAGCTAATATGGAAGCAGCCGGCTTTCCCAGTTGCGGAATATATAAAGGAGAATGAAAATGGACGATGGCCGTTGGATAGTCTTAATAACTTAGATCTCAGCCTTACATCTGTTCGTCGTGAGTAGACCCAGCGTCTAGGGCAAACTGGCTAGAAGTTGGATGGACTTTTTTGCCCCTTACGGAGAAATCATCAAATAAGTTTCAATATCTCATCTCAGTGATTTTTTTTGCGGAGGCAAATAATCTCATCTCATAGTTTATCATCTGCATATTTACTATTTACTATTTACTATTCGTGACTATTACTTGTCCTCATTTAAATTATTTTATTTTATTTTTAAATACATATCATGTTTTAAATTTCAAAATATAATTATTATTTGTTTTCAATAGTATGGGTACAGTGTTAATTAAATTGAAATGCAAAACAATACTGTATAGCATTAAATCTATATGTATAATACACTCGTGGAATTAGTACATAAGATCAGCCGCAGATACTCGATCGGGCTTCCTAATGGGCCATCACAGTTGCAAGCTAGGCCACGCTCCAGCTGAAATAAAAGTAGCCCGTAATGGAAGTCTAAGGACGAAGACAAGAAGCAAGATTCTCTACACTACAAGCAGCTTTCTGGGCGGACCCAAGAGGAGGCGGTGCCGGCGGCATTATTGCAGAAAGCCTGGGCTTCTTGTTCGTTGTAGGTCAGGTTGACATTCTCCAGCCTGAGCGAGTTGCAAGGTTGCTTCGAGCTGCAATCAAATTTCACAGCAACTTCTGAAGCCGATGTACCCCAAATCATTTTGTACTTCACATCCCTAATCTCGATCCCCGAAGCCTGCGCACACAGCCAAATTTACATCTTCATAAATTGCAGGTTTAATCCTGCTCATGATCTCGAACATATTCCTCTAATTTTTTTTTTTTTTAAAGTGTCGAGAAACTAACCTGACGAGGGCAATTGAAGTTATCAGGGCAGTAATGTTGGTCGATTATGATGGGGTTTTGCACATCCTGCATGACTATGTTTTGGAAGACGATTCTCTGTACAAATCCATTGCTGGGCCTGCCCCATGACTTTATTCTCACCCCATTGGTAGTACCCGTCAGGTTAACCGCTTTAACCGTCACCCTCTGCACCCCAGGTTCGTTCAGCTCCCTCGCTAAACTTCCAATGCTGCAGAAATCATTAAGAGTCGCCTCATAATAACTATTAGTTTCGTTAATCAATCAATAATCTCACTTCAAATATACCTAATTCCATGACCCGGTCCACAAGCTACGTGTTCAATCCTCAGGTCTGAGGTGCCTGGTCCGATGGAAACACAATCGTCGCCGGTGCGAATTTCGGAGTGGACGATGTTGACGTCCGATGACAACTGAACGTGAATGCCGTCGGTGTTGGGGCTGTTTCCCGGCGCCAACACCTTCACGTCTTTCACTCTAACTTTGCGGCACCCGTTGAAGACTATGTGGAACATTTGGCTGTTGAGGGAGGTCAAGCTCTTGATGTGAATGTTCTTGGAGTTGCTGAATCCTAATGTCTGCACACCCACGCCAAAACAAATAAACAACATCATTATATTTTCATCCTTCGTTATTTTATATATAACGTAACCTACCTTCATTTAATTGTTCTTTATGCAAGTAACTAACATGCACAGAATGTGGCTGTGTTATAATTTGTGAGCTTGAACCGTCAGCAACATGCCGTTAACAAGTCATTTAATATCTAATAAGAACAGTAAAACATAAATTTAATTATTAGAATACGAGTACTTATTTTAAAAAACAAGATTGTCGTTGCCGTTTTAGGTTTATTTTGTCATGAGGCAAAGGGGGGAAAAAAAAAGTGAGATTCTGTGAAGTTGAAAATATTGCAGACGGATACACAATGTGGAGAGGAGGAGGACAAATTATGATTGTCATTATTTGTCAGATGGCAGAGTTTCATGTCCCCTGTTTGGATGCCCGAGAAAATCCATCAATGAGAGATTAATGTAGTAAATAATCCTCGTTTGCTATTTGCTTCTTCAGCATCCCAAACGATTCCCTTCTCAGGGATCCCCGACCTGAAAAGACGGAATCGCTCCACTACGAACTCTCATTGGCCAGGG